TTACCACCACAATTTTTAGATCATTAGTTGCATGATTGTTGAAAAAAGCTTTGATGAACTTAGGAGAGGAAGTTTAATTCTTTGTCAATTAGTTGGGATTGGTTTAATGCAACTTTCTCAACATTCAACCATCATAAAGTTTCTGTCTTAATGTGAATACTTGTTGATGATTGTGCTGTGTGAAGATGTCATCTGTTCTATCTTTGTTTCTTTGGCAGAGATGTATGGGCATTCATCTTAACTTGCAAGGTCCAGTACTGCAGTCTTTATGATCAGGGGTAATAACTTTTCCATGTTGCTTAAGATGTTGTCTTAATTGGTTGAAACTATGTTTATAGTTCTAATTTTTTGGTCACTAATATATATGCTTTATATGGATCTTAGATGGGTTTCTACCTTTTCCATTAATATTCAACACTGTGGTCTAATCTCTTTGTCCATTTTCTCAGTTATACTTCAATTGGGAGCGTACATGACACAGTCCCAAATGCATTGTTGTGCATCAGCAACTCCTCCAGTGGTGAAGGGAAGTTTAAACCTGCATATTTACTTTCTGATGGAAGATTAGAGAGAGCAGGAAGAGTAAAAAAAATTCATTCGTCAGCTTGTGGGAAACTTCCTGCTGTAAATAATGGTCTGGAAATTGTTGATTCGCATAAAAGGAGCATGCTCACAGCCTCAATCATTGCTGTGGGTGATGAGATTTTGTAAGTCCATTCTTGGCATTTTCTCTGTTTGCTACAAAAGTTTATTTGCTAGTTTCTTTTGCCTGAGTTAGTTTCCAATTCTCCCTTTTTCCCTCCGAATCTTTCTGCAAGTATATGTAGTCTTTTCCCCTAACATTTAACTGGTTGCATGTATGCTTATATTTCAACTAGCTTTAATACTATATCATTGTTGGTATGATGCTGCATATCAGAACTTGTTGGATGAGATGTTTGCTGTTCTTCCCCCTGGGTTTCTTTATCTTTTCCAAGGAAAAAGTGAAAGAAAATATGATAGATTAATTGTTGAAACTTGGACTACATTTCATATTGTCTGCATGTGTTCTGTAAAATATCTTGTTGACTGCTACTATTAAGCTTGCTGTATTTTTTCTCTGTTCCATAGCTCAGGTCTGGCACTGTTGAGGATCAGTTGGGACCTTCCTTGTGCAAAAAGTTGCACTCCATTGGTTGGCTGGTAACGCAAGTTGCTATTGTTAGGAATGACGTAAGTTACCATCTATGAGATTTTATCTCGAAAAGATTCTCTTGGTTAAATATATTCTTCTGTTGGTATTGTCATTTGTGTGCCATTATGGATAAGGTGGAACCTCACCTTTTCACGTAGATCAGCAAATGAGGCTTTAGTGACTGTTGTAAGCAAAACAGAAACATTTATGCTTTTTCATTGTGGGCTTCATCTTACATTTCCTCCATTAAAACTTTCCTGAACCAGATAGATTCTGTCGCTGAAGAAGTTGATCGACTAAAGTCTAATAATGATATGGTAAGTCTCTTACAATCTAATAAAGAAATTGGTGCTTTTATTAGATGAACGCTATGTGGGTTTCTTTTGGTAAATTCTAGATATACGTGGTATTATGATGAATATTTGCAGATATTTATATATGGAGGGGTTGGTCCAGTGCATTCAGATGTTACCTTAGCAGGTGCCGCAAAGGCATTTGGGGTTCGCTTGGTATGCTTCTTCTCCAGCTCCTGCCCTTTAACAAGGGTTAAATCAATTATAGTTATCTAAACTATTTTAATCTTTTGCTAGAAATGTCATCATTTTGCAGATACTTGCTAGAAATGTCATCATTTAATCTTTTGCTAGGAAGAATAATTCTTGAATTGGTCAGATTCTTACCAACTGCATAACTAGTGAATGTTTAACTTTAGCTGCATGTTGCTTTGATCTCAAAATCATGCATGGTTTATACGCATATTACTTTCAAGTGGGTACTACTGATGTTTTCAATATGTCATTTTTCTTTCATGCAGGCCCCTGATGAAGAATATGAAGAGTATCTGAGGCATCTCATTGGTAACCCAATGTACCAGTGATAGAAATGAGGTAGGGTAATGTCATATTTGTTATTATTCTGGATGAACTTGTTTTGTTATTATAGAACCTGCTTTTTACTTTCTTGCGTAGATAAATATCTGATTGAATGAAATTGAGTGCAAATATCACTAGAAACCAGAGCCAAAAAGCTCTTACTGGATTATTGATTTTTTAATTGAAGAAAACACAGCTTGAATATGGAAAGCTTGGATGAAATATGTTGCTAGCACTTCTTTCTCTCTATCTCTACATTTTGTTTCTCTCATACTCTCTCTGTACATTTTGTTTTTTTTCACACTTGGTCTATGCAGTCAGAACAATCTAGTATATAAATCTGCATTCACATGCATCAGTGAAGGACTTTTTGTAGCTTGAATTAAGTCTGATCCTTCAGTTATTCTACTCATCAGATGGCCCAGTTGCCAGAAGGAATTTCTGAATTATTGCACCATGAAAAGTTGCCAGTGCCTATGGTAAGTGTTTGGAATCTTACATCCATTGATTTTAAGGTTTTGAAAGCTTGCATTAGGTGTGGGGAATGTCCAAAATAAAAGAGCAATGTGATTTTTGTTCCTTTATTATTAATTTTTTTTAGTCAATTCTTGTGAAGAAGTATATCTTAACGGTAAGTGTCTGGTGATTAAATCTTGGAGATCAAGTGTTAAAATGTTATAGCAAGTGTTCGGGATCTCACATCCATTTGTCTTAAGGTATGCGAGATTCCAAGACCTTTTTGTAAGTGTTTGGAATCTCACATTTATTTATTTATTTTTTAAGTTTTGAAAGCTTAAGATTAAGTTTGGATTCCAGAATTGGGTGAGAGTAAAAAGTGATATGGTTTTTTTTTTTGTTTTTTTTTTATTAGTTCCTACATTCTATTATATGACTTGCAAAGTTCTAATCGTTAATGGTAAATGTCTATTGATTATATCTTGTAGATAAAGTGCCAAAATGTTTTCGTCCTTTCTGCGACAAATGTTACTGAGCTTGACAAAGAGTGGGATTGTTTCATCGAGTTAGCAAGATCTAATGGCTCTTTGGTATTAATGGAACCGTATGCATCAAAATGCTTAACAACAAAGCTATCAGATGTATGTATACCTTTAAACTGCTGTCAGTCATTTTAATACTTTAAATTAGGTTATGCTTTTGTTTCATTCCCCATTATCACTGAATATTTGTACTAAACGTGGAACAAACATTTTCTTTCATTGATCTCTATGCTAATAGTTTAAGTTTAAAAATTCTAGATTTTATCCTTGTATTCTTGAGAGAACTTAAGGAGAAAGACAACTGGAACATTTTTGGCATTTAAACTAACTCACTTGACATAGTACTGGTTTCAGATGCCCTTGCCAGTATCCATATGTTATAGTCTCGTGTTTAAGATCAGGTTGTGGGTTAAGATATGCAGAATTACTGTTTAAGGCTCGTTAGAGTGAACTCATCCATATTTGTAGTTAAGGTACTCTATGACGGATTTTGATTAATTATTTTATAATTCTTTTTTATTCATGTCAATTTTTTACATATTAATAGGTAACACAGCATAAGCGTTCCCTTTTAATAGACACTAATGAGTTCCTAGTCTACTTATAATAATGATATCACATATAATTCCTTGCAAAATGAGCGTAACCAAGCCTATCATGGTAAGACTAGAACTAATTGTCGAGATATAGATATACTGGCAAGAAATTAGGAGAATTAATTGGAAATCCTGTAAATTGAGGGATTATGTGGTTAGGTTTCTTGATGAGTTGGTGTTTTATTTAGGAATGAGTAGATTTCCTGAGAAGTTAGTGTCCTATTTAGAAATGAGTTAGTTTCTTATTTTTTTCTCTTGGAACTTACTGTATAATACCATGTATTATCAATTTAGAAATAGAAATCTTTCTTTTCTTCTCATATTTCATCACATGGTATCAGAGCTTTAAGTTCTTTTTTAGGAATTCTGCCTCTTTTCTCTTTAGCCTTAATTGCTGAACGATCTTCCTTTTAGCCTTCATTGCTGATCTTGTTTTTTATTTCTCCTTCTTTAATTCCCATTTAGGCAGTCTTAATGGCTGCCGATTTCCTTCATCATGTCAACCTCCCAAACCACTGACACCACTGCCTCCAGCAATTCAAATCCACCTGAAGAGTTCAACTCTGTTTAGAAAATTGGAGAATTGCAAAATATTCAGGCCTCCTATAGACTCAATGGGAAGAACTATCTCAAATGGTCTCAATTTGTCAGTGCATACCTCAAGGGCAAAGGGAGACTTAATCACTGTCTTGGAACAGGACCGACAAAGAATGACCCATCGTTTGAAGCATGGGATGAGGAGGATTCCATGATAATGTCTTGGTTATGGGATTCTATGGATCCCATGATCATTGATGCGTGTATGTTTTTTGCTACAGCAAAGGAAATTTGGGATTTCATTCGTCGCACATAATCGAAGACCCATGATGCTGCTCAGGTGTACAAGATCAAGGTAAGAACTGCGGCCACTAAGCGAGAAGACAAATCTATCACAGAATATGCAAACCTGCTGCAAAACCTGTGGCAAGAACTTGATCATTACCGAGTTTTTAAGATGAAACACCCCGAGTATGCTGTCATCTTGAAGAACTTCATTGAAAAAGACCGAGTTTATGATTTTTTGGCTGGATTAAATTCTGAATTCAATCAGGTTAGGATCCAAATCCTTGGCAAAGAGGAGACACCTTCTCTAGAAGAGACAATATTATTGATTTGAGAAAAAGAAAGTCGAAAGAGTGTTATGCTTCACGAGAAGCTAAGAAACTTGCTGGGGTCTCTTGGGAAGCCTTCTGGAACTTGTTCTATGGCTTTTACAGGTAAATTTTCATTCTCTTTTTGCATGAATACCCCAGAAATATTATATGTTAACTCATAGATAATAGATTCTGGTGCCACAAATCATATGACCCCCATACCTCAATTCTTTCACACCTATACTCCATACCCGAGTAACAGGACAATTTTAATGGCCAATGGCTCTTTAGCTACTGTTGCAGGGTTCGAAGATATACATATCACACCTATCCTTACCCTTAAAAATGTCCTCTGTGTACTGAAACTATCAACCAACCTGATTTCCATTCAAAAACTAATCCATGATCTTAAATTTTATGTCACCTTTTTCCCTTATTATTGTATTTTTCAAGATCAGCACTCAGGGGGGATGGATTGGACTTACTGAGGAAAGAAGCGATCTTTACCACCTTGAATCATCAAAAAACAGTAGAAGCAATTTGTTCTTGATTTTCTTCAGTTCCACAAATAAAGATGTCATTTGGTTGTATCACCTACGCTTAGATCATCCATCTTTTAGGGTTTTAAAAGTCATGTTTTCTCATTTGTTTCATGGATTAGATATGTCTGAATTTCATTGTGATACTTGTGAATTAGCAAAACATGCTCATGTATCTTTTCCTATCAACAATAAAAGAACTGCTCATCATTTTCATTTAATTCATAGTGACATATGGGGTCCTTCTACAAATACCAAATGTTTCTGGAGCTTGTTGGTTTGTATCCTTAATTGATGATTGCATTCGGGTTACTTGGTTCTTTCTTTTTAAACAAAAATCTGATGTTAGCATTATTATACCCAACTTTCACTCAACGGTTCAAAACCAATTTACGGTTAAAATAAAAAGCTTTAGGATAGACAATGCTAGAGACTACTTCAACTAGATTTTGTCACCTTATTTTCAATTACAAGGCATTATCCATGAATCATCATGTGTTAATACATCTCAGCAAAATGGGGTAGCTGAAAGGAAAAATGGACACTTACTTAACTCCACCCTTACTCTTTCATGTGAATGTTCTTAAGTCCTATTGGGGGTGAGGCTGTTCTTACTACCACACACATGATAAATAGACTTCCTTCGCATGTTCGACAATAAAA